CAATTGCGTCACATAATCATTTTGTTTTTCCGTTATTTTTTTTTAATTTCATCTTTATTAAAATTGGTAAAAATTTTTTATAACTATCAATCAATCAATCCAATCGTGGTAGGTATTCAGGTTTAATAACCAAAGGGTGGTCAGAAATTACAGTTATTTCTCTTCGCCCCTTTCATGTCTTGTTGATAATTTTAGAGATGTATTAAAATAAGTCGTACTACTTATTAGCGAAGGTTGTAAAGCGTGTGTGGGTTGTCGTTGATTTACTTATTTTATGAAGGTATGTGGCAGGGGTGTAAACGGGAAGACTGTAGGCTAAGCGTTTTTTTTTTTTACTTGGGTTGTTTCTAATTTTTTATATAGATGTTCCGGCATGTTACATGTGACAGGGCAACCGTATTCGAGAATTGGTCTTATGAAGCGTTGTATATTGTAATTATAGTGCTGTCGTTGCAGCCTTTAGCATAACCGCTGATATTTTTGAAATAGTTGGTTCGCTGTTTAGCTTTAGTTATGGATTCTGGGAAATGTGTGCTCCAGGCAGAAGCGGATTTATAGGTATGCGCAATACGCGCAGAAGTAGGGCCCCGTGCGACTGAGAGTCCCTCAAATTCAAACAAAAAAAATATATATATATGTATTACAAATCAGTTTATTTTATGAATGAAAATTTTATTTTGATATAACTTTTTTCGTTTACTTAGCTAAACCAGCAAGACGTGCTTAAGGCGCGTGGTGCTGGCTTACTAATCAATCATTTGTGTAGATCCTATAAAAATTAATTCTACTTTTATTTGTGACATTTCTTGACTGGTTAATTTCACCGGTTATTTGTAGGTTATTTGAAAAAGTGATTCCATGAATATGAAACGACATTATGCACCAGGAAGTGAAAAGAGGAAAAATAATATTGTTTGTTTGTTTGTTAAGCACAAAGCTACACAATGGGCTATCTGTGCTTTGCCCACCACGAGTATCGAAATCCGGTTTCTAGGATTGTAATTCCGCAGATATACCGCTGTGCCACTGGGGGGCGTAAAAAGAAGAACATGAAGAGAAATAGAAAGATTTACTATCTTTTTTGAAACCTGTGCCTGTGCGTTCGGATTTCGTTGCACCAGAAGAAATGAAAGAAGCTGTAGCTGTTTCTAAAAGTAGAAAATATCAATATGTAAAAACAAGTGAAACACTGGACCCTAATCCTCAACTTCACACAAATGATGTGGCTGATTCAGTCACTTTTGAAGGTAACGAAGGTGTAGAAGCCACAACTAAGTCTGATGAAGATAATACTCCAGCTGAAATGGAAGACATTATAGATTTTAGAGAATTTTCTTACGTGAATGGCATCGCTTTATGGCCCGATTCTTTTTCATTAGATATGATAGAATAGCATATTGTAAATAAACCTGAAAATCTGTGTTTTGTTATGCTTGTAAATTATTTCCTGGCGGCAACAAAATAAAGCAAGCTTTTATAGATGTTTTTTCAAGCTGGAGATGCATATCAAGATTATTAAATGAACATGAAACTTCGGAAAACTCAAGAAAGTGCAATGTGTTATTTTATAAGAAGAAATAACTCAACCCATCGCGTTGATTCACAACTAGTAACACAATTTGAAAAACAATGCTCTTAATGGCGACAAGTATTGAAACGCATAATTGCAAATGTGAAGCTACTTGCAAGATCAGGCCTTGCTTTCAAAGGCCATGACGAATCTGAGTCTTCAAATCGTAAAGGCAATTTCTTAACTTGTATCGAATATCTGGCCGAATTTGATGATTTTCTCAAACAGCATCTGGAAAATGATCAGAACTGTGGTTCTGGTAAAACTAATTTTTTATCTCATCATATTTACGACGAATTTCTCGTTGTCATGGCTGATCATCTGCGAAAAAACTTTGCTGATGAAGTGAAAAATGCGCAGTATTTTTCTATAATTGTAGACTCGACTCCCGAAGTAAGTCACGTGTATCAACTTACTGTTGCGACAGCGGAAGTCATATAACTCTGGTAACACGTCATGAGTTTCTAGAAGGATCATGACTGTTTCTAGAAGGATCATGACTGTTCCTGACAACTCTAGTGTTTGCCAGACAACCTTTATTTTTGTATATAAGCCCGGCAAATAAAGCGGAGATATAATTGCAGGTAGATGGAGATAGAGACAGACAAATTAGTCAAGTGAGCGGTAGTGACCGTAAGTAAGGTGCGTGAATCGTTGTGAATTATAGTGTGTGTTTAAGTTAAATTGACTGTGGAAATTTTGTGTATTGCAAAGTTGTATTGAGAAAGAATAAACTAGTTTTATTTAAGAAAGGTCTTGTATCGCTGAAGTTTCTCGGAAAGAATTTTTACGGAAAATTATTAAACGAGCAGATACGTAACAAATTGGTGTCAGAGATTGGGACGGAAAAGAAAAAAAAAGATGGCAAATCAAACTACAGCTTAGCAGATTTGGTGGCAGCAATACAAGAACAGCAAAAGAAACAAGAAGAACGAGAAAATAAACAAGAAGAGAGATTACAACAGTGGTTGGAGGAGAAAGAAAAGAAACAAGAAGAAAGATTACAGCAGTTGTTGGAGGAAAAGAAAAGAAACAAGAAGAACAAGAAAATAAACAAGAAGAGAGACTACAGCAGTGGTTGGAGGAGAAAGAAAATGAACAAGAAGAGACACTACAGCAGTGGCAACTGGAACAAGAAAGGAAACAAGAAGTACAAATGGAAAAGCTTAGTAAATTTCAAAGTGAATTAAATACGTTAAAGGATGATTTACTGTCTTTTACACAAGGAGAATATATTAGCCATGGACCTAATCAGCCTCAGACAATCCTTCCAGACTCCGCAGCTCAACCCTAATGCAGACATCTTCAATCATGTCAGAAGTCACATTCCAGACATGAGTGTCAGCAATAGGGGTGGTCTAGTACGAAGGAAGCCACAGGAATTCGATGGGAAGCATATAGAGCACAATTTGAGCTCCTGGCAGAAATGAATGGATGGACAGAGGAGTAGAAAGCAGTGTACCTGGCAACCAGCCTGAAGGGACAACCACTGGAAATACTTGGACAGTTGTCAGCAGATGACAGGCACAACTACAGAGCACTGCTAGCTGCTCTACAATTCAGGTATAGAACTCAAAATCAGTCTGAAGTCTACAGAGCTAGGTTTAGGTCAAGAGTACGTGGTAAAGGGGAGAGCCTGCAAGAGCTGGCACAGGATTTGGAAAGTATGGCACACTAGGCCTACCCAACTGCACCACCAGATTTCCTGAAGCTGTTGCTGAGGGATCAGTTTGTAGACGCCTTGGACAGTCCACAACTGAAGATACAAGTAAAGCAAGCACAACCCTTTACTATTCAGGATGCAATGGCCAAAGCTATGTTAAGTCCAGCACAGAGGTACCAAGGTTGGTACAGTCATCAGGATTCAAGGACAGAAAAGGTCAGCTTTCAGAGACGTTTAAGGGACTTTGCTGGCACTGTAACAAACCTGGGCACAAGAAAGCTCAATGCTGGAAACTTCAACACAGGGAAGATCACGGCAGGAAAGGCTGCAACCCAGAAAGGTTGTTGGAACTGTGGAGAGTAAGGACATATGAGGAGCCAGTGTAAGAAGAATACTACCAATAAGTTAGCTTCGGGAAACCAATAGTGGTTGGTGCTGAG